TTGAGTGGTGCTCTCTGAGGGGATGAAAAACTTCTTCAAAATCCCCCAGGTGCCCAGAGCAGCCTGGTGCCAGCCTGGCCGGAGGCGATGGACACCCCAGTGCCAGGGGGGATGGACACCCCATGCCCGGTGCCAGGATGGACACAATGGACACCCCATGCCAGGACGGACACCCCATGCCCAGTGCCAGGGGGGATGGACACGATGGACACCCCATGCCAGGATGGACACCCCATGCCCGGTGCCAGACCCGTCATGGCTCAGCCAGCCCCAGCCCCAGCCCCGGGCACAAAGCCTTGGGGACAAGGACAGACCTGGGCTCCATTTAGGATGGGTACAACATCCCCGCTGACCCCAGAGCTGTTTTGGTGGCCTTTGCCCCACGGCCACTGGTCCCTGTGTATGGGCAGTGCCAGGACAGTGACCAGGAGCAGGGGGTCACTCCCTGACCCCGGGGACCCAGGGGGATGCAGTCCCTTGGCTGTGACAGTGTCAAAGTCACTCAAACCCATAAATTTTGAGAGCTTTCCTGGATCCCAAGAGCCTCCCAGAGCCCCCGGGCAAGGCCAGGATGGGGATGGGGTCCCACCAACCTACAGGAAACGGGGGCACAGAAAGAYCCCAGAGAACACCCCACCCTCACCCCAGGGGTTCCTGGGGATCCAGGGGCTCCTTCCCAGCCTGGCAAAGCTGCTGGACCGGCTGTGAGCCACGCTGCAATTTGGGGATCTGTCGAAATCAGTTAACTCCTGGGACGCCAGGGAGAGCCCGGAGCCCCAGGGATGGACAGACACCCCCAGTTCACCCTCCCTGGCCCAGCACCCGCAGCTCCCACCCTCCAGTTTAACCAGTCCGGTGTCCCCAGGCCGTCGGGTCAGGGCCAGYGCGAGCCCTTGGCTCTTTGGTGCCGCCCTGGTTTGGTAATTACAGCTCTGGAGCTGTTCCCAGGCTGGCAGAGCTCGGGGCTGGGGAGGCTGAGCTTTGGGGTCCCTCCATGGGCTCTCCTGACACCACTGGGGACCCCCAGTTCAGCACGGCCTTGGGGGGCTTTGGGGTGCTGTGACGGGGCTGGGGAGGGCCAGGGGGGCTCCCAGGGGTCCCTCCCCTCTGTGGCATCTCCAGGGTCCCACCAGGGCAGGGAGGGTCTGGTTTGTGCAGCTCAAAACTCGTCCCAGCCCCGGTCCCCGGGCACCCCATACCCATATGGGGTCACTGCCCTGCCCGTGCCCCATTTCTCCCATTGCTGGGATGGGGCCGTGCCAGGGCTGGGACTGGCGTGTCCCCCGTGTCCCYRCTGTGCCAGGGCTGGGACTGGCGTGTCCCCCGTGTCCCCGCTGTGCCCAGTTTGGGGCTCTGGTTGAACTGGGCCAGCCCGTCCCCAGTTTCCTCCCGGCACGGCGGCGTTCCCATCAAAGGCTGCTCCTGCCCAGCCCTGCTGAGCTCACAGCCCAGGCTGCCGGGACGGTTTTATTGTAATTATTTTTCGTGTTGAAACGCGCCGGTGGGAGGGGCAGGGGGAGGGAGCTGCGCCCTCAGCCATGGCCCCGTGCCAGCAGCACCGAGCTCTGTCCCAGCGCGTCTGGACCTTGGGGACATCCCCACCCTGGTGACACCCCAGGGCTGGCCCTGTCTGCCCATGCAGCTTCTGTGCATTCTCCTCCTTGGACTCGGAGGAGCCTGGGGGAGAACCCGAGGACCCACAGAGGGGTGTTGGTGGCAGATTTTGGGGGGCTGGGGGTTGGTACCACGGGTCTGGAGCACCCCAGAGCAGGGTCAGGGACCTCAGAGCACCCCAGGGAGCAGCCAGCACTGCCTGGGGCTGCCAAAACCCTGATGGGATGGGATGGGATCCATGGGATGGGATAGGATGGGATCCATAGGATGAGATCCATGGGATGGGATCCATGGGATGGGATCCATGGGATGGGATGGAATGGGATGGGATCCACAGGATGGGATCCATGGATGATGGGATGGGATCCATGGGATGGGATCCATGGGATGGGATCCATGGGATGGGATGGGATG